GCACAATTCCAAGTGCTTTATATGTACAGTCATTTTTTTCCCTCACAAAGACTCAGTGAGGTAGGTATTAATATTATCTCCATTTTACGGATAGGACACTAAGGCTGGGGTCACGCATGTCACTTAGCTACTCAGGGCCATGGTTAAAACCCAGGGAGTCAGACTCTCGAACGTTACACACAAATGTAATATTGGAGAAGAAGCTGTCAATACGTGAAAGGATTGTGAAGTGGCTTGTTTTATTATTGTGTTGTAGTAAAAGGTGAGACAGAAAAAGTTACTCTTTTTTTCAGATGTATTTTCTGGGTCTCCCATTTTTCCATCCTCCTCTTTGGAAGGCAGGGCCGCATGACTCGGGCAGACAGAACTGAAGGTCCTGACGCCCTAGCCTCAAACTCCCTTCCTGTAATAGGTATCAGAGTGTCATGTCTGAGACCTGGGATATAAATGATAAGTGAATGTGGTTGGTCATCATCTTTTCCCATCATAAACCTCTGCCCAAGGGCTCTCACGCTGGGAAAACAGAGGTGTTGAAAGAAAGAATGGAGGTGCACTGGCAGAGTATGTGGACAGGCTCAAATGGCCTGCTGGCACCTTCAGACATGGAATGTTCTAAATATGTCGCAGCTCTAGAGACTCAAGCTCCGTCTGATTCACAATGGGGACACTCATAAACGATCAGCTATTAACCAACCAAACAAACAAACCCAAAAATATGCGAAAGAAACAACTCTTCTTTAAACTCAAACTTTTTCTCTTTCCTCTTATTACTCAACATAATAATCTGTAGAACCACTTTTCATTTGGAAGTTCCCATTGGGAACATAGAATTCATTGCATAGATTTATATAGTTCTTACTAGTGGCTGATGAATTAGTGCATAAACAGGCCCTCGTACTCTTTTGTGGCAGTGGGACCAAGCTGTTGGGGATGGAGTCATGACAGACTGTGAAAACAGATCATATCAAGCTCCACCCCCTCCCCATTCATTATGCACTTAACAAACCGTACTGAAACCTTCTATGTGCCAGACATGGGGCCACATCCTCTCTATCCAGAAGAGGTGGCAAACATGAAACTAAATCATCAATCTTAGTGTTGTAGTTGTCGTGAAAGAAATAGCTATGCACAGGGTTTTTTTTTTTTGTAGTACTTTAAAAATGTATTCATATCTTATTTTGTGCCCTTCAGTAAAATCATATAGTTTTCTTCATGTAGATTTAACATGTTTCTTATCAGCTGTATTCCCAGATATTTCGCAGTTTTTGTTAACATTGTGGATGGTGGCTTTTTGCACGTGGTATTCTTTCCTCATTTCTTTGGAAAATAATTTTAGCTTTTATAAAAATCATCAAGCTCATTATCATGAAGCAATGCCACACAGTAAAGTACAAAGAAGAAGGATAAAATATCAGTCGGATTCCAGCACCTTGAAATAACCATCACCCTTTCCAACAATCAAACTTCCTGGAATATTATACTCTTTAAATCTGCTCCGATTCCTTTTAAAGTTTTTTTTTTCTGAAATAACTTCAGATCTTTTAAAATTATCTTATTCTTTTCCTCTTTTTGCTTTCCATATCAAAACTCTGATGAATAACAATTATTATTAATATCACTATTTATTATTATTGTTATTTTACCACATTGATCCTTAATTTTCTGTGTGCTGAGAAATGTCTCATTGAACACAGGACTTAAACTCAATGAGCTGCTGCCCAAATGAAGTTTGATGGTGGGCAAGTAAGAATTAAATGAAGTAAATTTAATATAATAAGAATGAACTAAAATGGTAACTTATCAGCCTCGGTTCTTTTTGGTGCATCTTTGGGCCTGGGATGAACTGAGTTTTCAGTATTTCACTGTCAAGTATGGAAAAGGTGGGGCAGTTAGTGGCTTGGCAAATCTTTTAACAAGTAAGTAGACGAACTATTTTTATTGAAATCTAGATTAGCTCTAGAAAGAACTTAAAGATTTTATCAGCATCTCCCCTTCCCCAGAATTTACACATGATGAAACTGAGGACCAGAGAACCTCGCCTGATGTCACTTGGCTAATTAATTAATAGCCAAGGAAAAACTAAAAATTTAATTCTCTTTTCCACTTTTTTAGCAGCAGTTTTATTTATGACACTATTCCATATTCATCTGCAAACTGTTTTTGTGGGTACACTAGGGAAGGGTGGTTGCAGTTGCCCTAAAGCTGAAACTGCAGGTTGTATAGTAGTATTTCCAGAGTCCAGGTAAGAGGATGTCAGAGGGAAGGATACAAGTCCTGCTGATGGTCTGCACCTGATCTGGGGAACTGAGGTAAGGTCTCGGGCAGCTCCTGACTGCACAGGTGAGGGGAGTAATGTTTCATTGGATCCCAAGTAGTCTTCCTTCAGTGATAACTTTGTCTTTCAATCAGGTGACCAGTAGCCATCGAATCTCTGTGTGTGTGTGTGTGTGTGCATGTGCGTGTGTGTAGGGATGGAGAAGCCAGGCGTGTCTCGGAGGCTCTCACAGCCAGTCTCATCCAGCAGGCACTGTGCTCCCATAATCCCCGTCCCAGGCCGGGTGGGGCCCAGTCCTGTTTCCCATGGACGTCCATGCCCAGCATCTGAACTGCTATTTCAGAGACAGAATGTTCTAAATCAGGTTTTCTGTTTTGGCAGAGGAATGGAACCCTCTTTTCTAATATTACTTCTGTGGGAAAGTGTTTTCTGAGTTCCAGACAACTCAATTTACAAATACATTTTTGGGATATGACCCATTTATATATATATTTGTGTGTGTGTGTGTGTGTGTATGTCTGTGTATACACACACACACACACACACACACATACATGTAAGGACTGTGTGTTCTGGGGGTAAGAACACTTCCCATGTACAGCTTGGTGGTACAAAGTGCAGGTGTTTCTTATATTGACCTTATTCAAGGAATAGCATATAATGTGCCTAAAATCTGAAACATACTCCGGCTGTCTTTCAGGAAGGGATGGCTATAGGCTTAGCAGCTCCCCATAAGGTAGGATTTAAGGGTCCAAAGAGCCTCCCACCCCCATTCATGCCCTCCTTGGTCTTAGAAAACGATCCAAAATTATCAGTGCCAATTAAGATAGGGGTTCAGCATGTGCAGAATCAACTTGTTGGGCATGACTTTTTCTTGAAATGTTGCAGAAAAGTGTGTTACAGCTCAGTTGTGACAATGACCTGCATCCAGGTGAGAGACTAAGCAGCACTCAGAGAGTTGTAAAACTCAGGTTTATTATGTCAGCAGGCCCAAAAGAGTTAACACTCCAAGCTCTAGATACCATCTGTAGGTTTACACAGGCCTTTATAGGCTGCCAG